TATAAAAAAAAAAAAAAAAAAAAAAGGTGGGGAGCGGGGCAGCAGGGGGGAATAAACAAAGTATTCTACAGTCCATAGGTTTCTGGGGTTTAGAAGACAATACAGATACCCATGAACTTTAGAGTCTAAATATTAATAATTTAAGGATAAGCAGCAAAAGATTATGTATAAATTCTCAGGAAATGAGAGAGAAAGAAATACAAGAGAATGAGAAAATGAGCACATAAATTGAGGTGAAAATATGTGAACACAATGGCAGAGAAAGACTGAAAACTAAACAGGTGGAAAAAGATACACTATGCAAACATTAGGCAAAAGAGAGTTGGTATGTCGCTATAAAAATATTAGACAAAATAAAATTTAAGGCAACATGCATTACTAGGAATGAATAAGGTCTCAATGTGACATAATATTTAGCAAGAAGATGTAACAACTCTTGAAATTACATTAACCAAACAATACAGTCTCTCAAACTATATAAATCAAAATCTGGCAGACTTTTGAGGAGGAAAAAGTGACATAAACACATCTATAATAGTAAAACTTCTGAGCTTCAAAAGACAACCAAAACAAAATAAAAAGATGATCCAGAGACTGGTAGAATATGTTTTCAACACATAGTACTGAATAAGATCCCTACTCAGAAAATGCAACAAAATTCTAACAAATGAATAAAGACTACCAACACAATAGAAAAGTTAGGATATAAACAGAAAATACACAGAAAAATGTTAAATGACCCTGACTTCAAAAATATGAAAAGATGCTCAACTTTATAAGTAACAAGGAAAATGCAGATAAAGCCACAATGAAATACTCATTTCATATCCATCCACACTTGGCAAAGATTGCAAGTCTGACAATATTAAGTTTTGCAAGGATGTGTAGCAACACGATCTTTATCCACTGAGGGAGACAGTGTAAGCGCCACCACTTAGCAATTAGGCAGTACCTAGTAAAAGTGAAGCCATGCCTGTGTTATGACCCAGAATTTACACTTACAGGGATCTAGCTTACTGAAACTCAACTACATGCTCAAAAGGAGTTGTGCGTACGAATTTTAATTGCAGCACTATTTGTGAAAGTACATGGAAAAAAGAAGAAAAAACTAAATTGTCCCTTAGTAGAAGAACAGATACTATGGCTTAATCATATAATGGAATACTACAGAGCAGTTAAAAATTAACAAATTAGATCTACACATAGCAACATGGATAAATCTTGAAAACAGTATTAAGAAGGGGGTAAAAGCAGCAAAAACATATACAGTATATTTCACTCATATATATTATTTATATGTTATATATGTAGTGAAAATATAAAATGTGCAAAAATAAAAATAAAATAATTTCAGAATGGTGGTAGGGACAGGGAAACAGAATGGGACTTCAGCGGTTTCTACAATATTTTAATCTTTTAAAAGAAAATATCTGAAGCAAATATGGCAAAATGTCAACTGTTTGATTTTGGTGGTAGGTACACAGTAGTCTGTTATATTATTTTCTTTATGATTAAATGTTGCATATGTTAAAATATTTATCAAATATCAACTAATAAACTATCAACTCTAGCTAATATTTACCGTTTATTTTCTACTCGTTGAATACCCCAAAGATCTAAACCATCTTCAGTAAGAGTTCCAGTCTAAAAAAAAAAAACACATGCACGACGTATGAATAATGCCTCATAGAAAAAGACACATATCATTAAAAACTATTCTACATATACACAGTGGAGTATTACAGTTTAAAAAAAAAAAAAGAAAGAAACAGGCAAGATCTCTGTATACTATACTGATAGAGAATGACTTCCAAAACATACGGTTAAAATGGGGCTGGCCAGTTAGCTCACTTGATTAAAGCGTGGTGTTATAACACTAAAGTCAAGGGTTTGGATCCCCTTACCGGCCGGCTCCCCTCCCCCAAAGAGGGAGGAGGGGGAGAAGGGTACAGAATAGTACGTATAGCAAGATCAGTACTTACAGTATGGTTCCTCTATGTAAGAGGAGATGAGGCATAAGTGTATAACTATATTTATATGCTTATATTATCAAAAAAACCAATGGAATGGGCCGGCCCGGGGTAGGGAAATCTGAGTATGAAATGGGTATTACATAAAACTAAGGAATTGTGAATTTTGTTAAGTGTGATAGTTGTGTTGTGGTTATGTAAAAAAAAATACATATTTTTTTTTAACACCTTATCTTCTAGAGACATATATGAGGTATTTATGGACAAAATAATATATCTGATGATGCCCCCTTCAAAATCAGAGGATAGATGAAGACTGACAAAATGTTGATAAATGTTAAAGCTGGGTAGTGTGTAAATGAGAGTTTGGGGTTTGTTAAACTTGTATCTTTTCTCCACTTTTGTGTCTACTTAAAAACTTTAATAATAAAGTTTCCAAAAAAGACAAGCATAAGTAAAATTTTCTGAACAGATAAATATTAAACAGTCATGGTAGTATATGACCTTTCTTTTTAAAAAAAGCATGTTTCACTTTTTTTTTCTGTAATAATAAAATGCGCAAAAATCAAATTCTTATCATATCAGTTACCCAGAAGAGCTTGATGGAAGTTTTTTTGCTCAAGGTTTAATTCTCAAAATAAAACTTTCAGGAAAACCAATTTCAGCTCAGGAAACAAGAAACCTTTTTAAGAGGCAAGGTATATTTCGCAAAGGTATACATACAATTAGTCATTTTCACATAAAATTCTAAAATCTGTGGCCTTCATAATTTTAAAAGATATACTCAATAAAAGCAAAGAGTAAACACTAAACATACATATTTAAAAGCAATAAAATCACAGTAAATATATGTATGGAGCATATTCTGTTAAATAAGAATTATCTAAAAACAGAAAGATCATAAAATCTTTACTATTACTACTACTACAACTACTTCTTACTACTATTACTACTACTACTATAATTCTGGATATGAAGAGTTAATCACAGATCAGAATAAATAAGCAATATCCAAAGTATTAAAAATTAAGAAAATAATATGCAAAAATGATGCATATGCCAAATAAGCTGAGGAAGAGGACAATTAGAGGAATATTAAAGAATGTGAGGGCCGGCCTGTGGCTCACTTGGGAGAGTATGGTACTAATAACACCAAGGCCAAGGGTTTGGATCCCTATATAGGGATGGCTGGTTAGCTCACTTGGGAGAGTGTGGTGCTGACAACACCAAGTCAAGGGTTAAGATCCCCTTACCAGTCACCTTTAAAAAAAAAAAAAGAATGTGTACAAATGAGTAAACAAAATGGAAAACATTAATCTAAATATTTAAAACCTACAAAATAAGTAACCTTTAAGAATGATTAAAGGTTGAAAATGAGCCAACCTTGTCAAAGCAAACAAGATTCAGCTGTCCACAGATATTTATCCTTTGGGGACTAATACAGAAAATACCGATTTTTTTCAGTCTTCTCTGTGCATACACAATACCAGCAGTCATTGCAGCAGGAAGTGCAGGCGGCACAGTAATTGTAACAATATCAAGAGACTCGATAATTATTACTCCAACTTCTACCTACAATTAACACAAAAATGAATGTCAAACCCCCAATATTAAATATTTAATGTGGGTATTTCTTTAGTGAAAATCTATAAACCATTTTCAATTTTATATATATGTGTATATACATATATCTACTACCCACTTATCATTTCTCCCCTTCAGATATTTTGCACTGGTTCTTGTAGTGGCTATTAAAAAAGAAAAAAAAAGAAAAAGAAAAAAAGAAAAATTCTGCAAAATAGGAAGCTCAATCAATTGTAGAATGACAGGTATTTTTTTAAAAATTCTGTCATTTTTAATAGCCCTATTTACTTCACACACGACACACTTCAAAGTAAGTTCAACAAACTGCCACATACTGACTCATCCTACAAGCACTGTACTGTACCAAACTCTACAGGAAAAGAAACTTGACAAGGTCCCTTAGAGGTGTCTTCAATTAAGTAAGCAAAAATCATTTTAATATTAAATATTCTATCCCACAGGTATAAAAAAGAAAAAATAAAACTTTTGGTGAGTATGCAGTTTTTTCTTTTTCCTCTTTTTTTTTTTTTTTTCAAGTCACAAAAGAGCAAGTAAAAGGCCATCTAAACCAGAGCCATCCAAAAGAACTGTCTGCTGGTTTTTTTCCTTTTCCTCTTTTTTTTTTTTTTTAAGTCACAAAAGAGCAAGTAAAAGGCCATCTAAACCAGAGCCATCCAAAAGAACTGTCTGCTATGACAGAAACGTTCTAATCCGTGCTTTTTAAAACAAAAGCAACTAGTCACACATAGTTTTTTTAAAGTTAATTTAAAATTAAATTAGCTTAAAAATTTAGTTTCTCAGTCTCACTAGCCACATTCCAAATCCTCCATAGCCACATGTGATAATGATCAAACCCTATTAAGAGTCCAATGTACATACCTCATTTAAAATGCTATTGATAATAGTGTAGATAAACCCAATGCCAGCCACTGCTACAAGACACAGTAGAAACAAGTAGGCATCTCTGTAGAGCTTAAAATCAGTTGGTTTAGGATACAATATGGAACGAACAAGCTGTCCTTTAGAAGTACTAAATCCTTTCAAAAAAAGTTAAGGAAGAAAATGACATACTTTAATAAGGAAAGAATTATCTCCCAAAACAAAATTTCTTTTAAACATTCAGTCAGTATAAAATATGCTAGACATGCAAGAAGAGATTAAATAAATGTTTTCTACCTGTTCTAACTACTATGGCTTTGACAAGTTCTCCAGTGTAGAAACGAGTCTGAATAACAGTCGTCCCACAAAACAAAGTATGTCGTTTATGTGTTTCCGGACTATAAAATTCATCTCCTGTTCCTTTTAGGCCCACTGAAGGGTTTGGCAAATTAGTCTTTGTCACTGGAACACTTTCTCCTATTAAAAAAAAAAGTTCAAAGTTCATTCATAAATTATTTAAAAGGAAGCATAGAAATCAGTATCAAACACCAAAAAATCTTAAATTGTTAAATATCTTAAATGTCACCATACTGTTTACAATAGCAACCTATTATAAAGAGTTCTGTATATGGATAACATAGCCTAATCAATTAGCTTTTTGTCTACCACACTGTTTCACCCAGAAATACCAAGTTCTGTCTCCCACAATAATTCCAGAAAGTGATTTGTGACTCAAAGGTAATACTTGTTTATATTTGGAAATAATTGTACTGTTGAATGTTCAAATAATTTCAAAGACAAGGCAGTTGTTCTTTTATCCTTAAGAAATGAATTGGAAAGCACTCTGTTACCTCAAGAACACAGAGATGTGAAGACCTACTCCTAACTCCCCCACCCATCACCACCCATCCACCCACCCACCCACACGCACACACACACACACACACACACATGAGTAAGGAAGAGAAAAGGCATCTGGGCAACGAAGAGAAGAATTAATAGTATGGGTGTTCTCAAACAATCACGAACAGCCAAATTCTTTTTAAATTTAATTCTCTGTAGTATTTATACTTCTTGCACCAAAGAAGGCAAGTGTGTAGGAATTTCTAGGTATGAGTGTGTGTTTTAAGGTAAGACTCTTAAGAGTTTCAAATGTAGTATTTACGAATCATTTTCTTGTCAGATTGACTGATAATAAAAAAATTCACATGACTAAAAAAGATATAAAGCTCTCTCTTGAGATGGCGAATTTCCAAAGGAAAGCCATTGTAAAGTCTACCTCTCCCCAGTTCAAGAAAATCACAAAATCTTTATTTACTCCCACTTTTTACACATTGAATAGGAAAGCTAATATGGTACATTCTCTGTGGGCAAAGAATTTCTTCCCTCTTCCCTTACCATAAACCATTTCCTCATGTCAAAAGACTGGCCAGAGGCAGGCCAAGAGATGTTGCCAACGCAAGCATAGTGATTTAGTATCAGATCTGAGTATAATGCAGAATTTGGTCTACTCAGAATAAAAAAATCTTCAATATCCATCACATTCATGACATTCTTAAGGATACAATTTTGAAAAAGCTTACTCAGTACTTTATCCTAATATCTTTATAAAGAACTCGTGATATTTACTCATTTAACTTAGTTTACCTGTTAACATGCTTTCATTTACAATGCAGGTCCCATTAATAAGTACTGCATCACAAGGCATGACTGTCCCATTTAAAGGAATAATCATGACATCTCCCGGGACAAGGTCTGTAGAAAAGATCTCTTCTATTTCTGATTTTAAAGAAAAAAGAAACATCTGAAAACAATATTAACTTGGAATAAAAATACAGCAAACAACTGATCCAAAGGTCACCTGATCGCAATGGTAAATTAGTAACATAATGGGTTTAAACACAAAAGTCCCAAAAAACGGAGTTTCGACAAATATGATTAGATTAATAAAGCATGGTGTGTCAGTTCATTTCTCTCCTGATGGGACACCAACGAAGCACTGGTGACACCAAGTCCCCTCTGACCAAGCAATTGGGTGCACTTTAACACCCATAACAACTACCCATGATCAATTTTAGCTATCGGCCATCTTAGAAAACAGACACAATGAGTCCACACAGGAGACTCCTCCGAAACAGGTAAATAAACTCAGATTTCTGTAATTCCATGGAAAAGGAAGAAAGCTTTGAAAAATTTAGCCTATTTTCTTTTCAACAGCATTTTTTATAGTGTTCTTTTTCTCAATACCACTCTTTAGAGTTTTATAACTCTAAAGTCTCACTGCCTTATTAACACTCCCAAATTAGTCTTTTTAGATATTATTTTAAATGACTAAATTTATTAAAATAAACATTGTGATATTTTATCTAGTTCATTGTTTTCTTAAAGATTTAAGTGAGCAAAACACTTTTTAAAAAGATTTTAAAATCTTTTTTTAAAAATCTTTTTCCCAAGGGTAAAGGTTTTTCTTTAGGATCACCTTGTATTTAGGCATTCTCTCTCTTCCTCTCTCCCTCCTCCCCCTCCCCCCACAAATTGCTTTCCATTGCCATTTGAATTGAGTCCAAATTTCTTAACATGCCTTAGAAGGCAATCTGTCATCTATTGCTGCTTGTACCATAGTGAATTTCTTTCAGTTCTTACAATCACCACACAATCTCTAATTTCCAGGGCTCTGTGCACTTAGAACCCTCTTCTCTCCTTCTCTCACTCTCACCTTACCAACTTCTCACCTACCTTTTTATCTAGCTAATGTGAATTTCTTTCAGTTCTTACAATCACCACACAATCTCTAATTTCCAGGGCTCTGTGCACTTAGAACCTTCTTCTCTCCTTCTCTCACTCTCACCTTACCAACTTCTCACCTACCTTTTTATCTAGCTAATTCATATAGACACCTGTTAAAAATATTTTCTCGGGGCCGGCCCAGTGGCTCACTCGGGAGAGTGCGGTGCTGATAACACCAAGGCCCGGGGTTCGGATCCCATATAGGGATGGCCGGTTCGCTCACTGGCTGAGCGTGGTGCTGACAACACCAAGTCAAGGGTTAAGATCTCCTTACCAGTCATCTTTTTAAAAATATATATATATTTTCTCAAAGAAGTCATCCCTGACACCTATAGTAAATAAGCTCTAATACTAAGTTCCCTAACCTATATATATATTTTCTCAAAGAAGCCATCCCTGACACCTATAGTAAATAAGCTCTAATACTAAGTTCCCTAACCTCTCCCTATCATAGCACCTGTCACACTTTATTGTTTGTGTTTATCATGTTTTTCCAACTAGACTGAATACAGAGAGTACCTGTCACATTGTAAAAAAACAAAAAAGAAAAGAAAAATACACTTTTATATAAATGATTGAATTTGATACAAACTCATGAATCCAAACACATATTTTTAGTTCTTAAATGAATGTAGGAGGGCCTGGCTCACTTGGGAGAGTGTGGTGCTGATAACACCAAGGCCACAGGTTTGGATTTCTATATAGGGATGGCTGGTTAGCTCACTTGGGAGAGCGTGGTGCTGACAACACCAAGTCAAGGGTTAAGATCCCCTTACCGGTCATCTTTTAAAAAACAAAATAATGAATGTAGGGTGGTCGGTTAGCTCAGTTGGTTAGAGCCCAGTGTTCTAACACCAAAGTCAAGAGTTCAGATCCCCATATTGGCCAGCACCCCCCGCCCCCAAAAGAATGTATATGTATAATAATACATTGAGCTTACTTCACACATTAGTGCTTAATGGGTACCTTTTTCTGGTTTATTCTTCCAACAGTCACCTAAAGTACTTACCTGCATTTACTCTACAAACTGAAACTCTCACAGTACTGTGAGCTGCCACCATGTCATGCAACATGACATATTGCTGAAAGAGGGAAAAGAAATTAAAAACTAGCCAATATAAACCCACTAAAAATATTAATAAGCAAGAGTGCTAAAAAATAAGGTAAGTTCATACAAAAAACACATATTACTCTGACTTTATAAATGTCGAGTCAAAGATTCAAAGATTTTTCATTGTTTTAGCTCAAGACAAAATAAAAAGCACTTTAATGAGACAGCCCTGAAAACATCAGAATCAGCCTTCCAGTATTCCAGTCTGTGATAAACAATTATAGATCCCTATGGCTCTAAGCAGTCAAGTGGTAGTCTGACTCTAAAAAGCATCTGCCTTCCCCCAACGTCCCCCCCCAAAAAAAGAAAAAGGTATGGGGAGGAGAGGAGTATAATAAATATTCATACAACTAAAATAATAACTGTATTGAGTATTTACTTTGTACCAAATACTATTCTACACATCTTACATGTTATCGCAAAATACAAATACAGACCCATAATAAACTAAATAAATTAATAAATTAAATAAATTTGAACTTACCTTTCTAATGGAATACAGTGAGCTTACAATTGATACTATGGACATAATCACAATGGCTAGAGCATAGTAATAGTATTCATCAATGCTCCACAGTATAACACTGAACAGTTGGAAAATGTAAAATGGGTTGAGAACCTAAAAAATAAGATTTTTAAGTCAAATTAAATGAGATAATTATAACCATGCAGATTCTCCAACTTTTCGTTGAGCAGTAACCAACAAGACACTTACAGAATAAGTTCTACAGTACTAGGGCAACAGGTACTACTCTAAAGAGTAGGGTGGTATGTTAGCCTTTAACATACTTTTCTTGTTTACCTTTAAACTACCAAAATTTGGCTAAATAAGCTTAATTTAAATTATTTGCATCCATTTAGATTCATATCAAACCCAAATATAGATTCAGCTGGAAAACGCTATTTAGCTGTTTTGCAGTCTGCTTTAGCAACAAAGTATATACATTTATTTCCAAAATTACTGTGCTCTGGGCTACTAAAAGAAACAAAACTTTTAATCAAATGAAACAAACGTTCACTTATTAATAAACTCACACACATATATATATAGTCCCATTTTTACCTCAAAATCAAATGAGACCATTAGAAAGAATTTATTCCAATTTTACAGATAAAGGAGCAGCAGAGAGAAAAGATTTCCTAAGATCAAGCTAGTTTCTGACAGAACCATATTACAAATCACGCTTTCCAATGCTTAATCACTATACTACCCTATATTTGATAGCAACATTATATGGGCACTTTCAAAAACTGAAGAAAAACAATCTTATTTCTACTAAAAGTATTCATCCAACACAACTAACTTTTGATCTTTAGTCAAAAAACAGAATGAAGATTGGCAAGCCTAACTCTGCTAAGCAAAGTTACTTCCTTCCTTTACATGCCCACAATCCTGTATTCACACCTCGTATGGCAGCACTTAAAACTTAAGTCACTGCAATAACTAATGTTTCCTCCCAGACTACACAGAACAAGCTCCTTACGGTCGATCATCATGCCATATTTTGTATTCCAAACTTCTGGTACAATGCCTACTCTCCAATAACATATCACATGAAGAAAACATGATAAATTATTTTTAAAAATGAAAATATAGTTAAAGATTTAGATGTGCAACTTCTTGAGAGTAAAAAGGAAAGAAAACCCAGCAGATGATAAAAAGCAAAATAAGACAAAATAAAAAGATAATTCATGCCCAAGATTGTTTCTCTACCTTTGCCTTCCAAGTAAAATAATAAGCAGTAAGTTAGAAAACAGAAAATCAAGAACATCTAATTATTTAATCATGACTCTTTCCAAATTAACAAATCTACTGATCACATATGTTGTTATATACAATAGTCTTACCTCTTTAATTAAAAGCTTAAAAACAGAAGGCACTTTCACAGTAATTTCATTTACTCCATAAAGCAATTTTCTATAACAGGAAAATACAATAATAGCATTATATCATATTACATCATATTGTACAATAATAATATAATTTAGGAAAGGCACCGCATTAGTTAAAGTTCAAACCACAGACTGCTCTTAAATTCATGTTTCTAAACACTTGTCTCCTACAATTCAAATTCTCTACCTACGGAGAATTTTTAAATCAAAGAAATCAATACTGAATAACTATTCTGCTAGTATTTTATTTTATTTGTCTTACATCTTTGCCTGTGAGAATTTTTCCCACTAGTCTGTCATAGCCATGTGAGCAAAAGGCTCTCTTCTCCGTCCTTGAACACAATAGGTCTTAATAATTTTGAATTATAAGTAATTTCTACAAGAGATTACATAAATTTGAGGGATCTTATACTATTCTTCTGATAAGAATATTGTACTTGGAATGGATATTTCAAAACATAGTGCATTTGACTTTTAGGAAAAAATGCTTTTGGGGCTGGCCCGTGGCTCACTCGGGAGAGTGCGGTGCTGATAACACCAAGGCCATGGG